CAACTTCGTTTTAACAATTGGGATTTTTTAAAAGCTTTCCAAATACATTACACTACCTTTAAATTACCCCTAACTAATAAGTTTATGTACTTTTTCAGTTAAACACACGGTTCCAAAGTCAATAGGGTATTTGTTAATGGTGCTCGACATGATCCTCAATTCATAATTTACATTTCTTCCTATAAAAACATCTTTAAACTAAAATGATCTCCTCACAATTCTAGCTTACAAACTTGGAGATAGGTTTATCACATTCCTTGGTTTCCTTCATTGGGTTAGACTTGACAAATTTAATTTAAGAGTTGAGTATCTTTTTAAGGTTATGGATAAGATAGACATTAAGATGATAAAAAATCTTCCTCTACCAATAAACAATAAAGGTCTCTTCAGCATGCCCTTTGTTGATGACCTTACAACCTTTTTCTCGATAAAACTTCCATTTCTCCCTTTAACCTCTACATACTTTCTATATGGTACATTTGCCTAACTATTTTTGTTTTCCTTTTATGCAAATTTTGACTATAAAAAGATTTGTGTTAAGCTTAATGCCTCAAATATTGATAAAGATATATTTGTTGACTTTCAAAAACTTTCATAAAATAGTAAAGGTATGACAAATAAAAGTGACAAGGGTTTTAGTTGGTGTTGCAGAAAGGAAAAAACTATGTTGGCTAACTTTTTTATCTGAACTCCACCTCTCAAATCTCCCTAAGTTATTGTTCCTCTAAGTATACCTCAATCACCACCTTTGTCAAATACTACCAATCATTTTTTGCCTTGTCTATTCACAGAAGCAAACAAGGACCTCTAACAAGATTTTGGTCCTATAAGGTGAATATTGGGAATGGATATACAAATGGAATAGGCACTTGGGGTATGATGTCTATCTTAGTATTGATTAAAAATTGTGGTTGAGAGTTTTATGATGCATGGATCTCTACCTGTGTATACAAATTTGGGACATCAAATGAAGATTTCAATTACCTTAGCTCATAATTTAGAGGAAGGTAAAAGGGAAACATATGCTTATGAAGTAGAGAACATCATGTACGAAGTAATGCGTAATTGATTGGACCTAGTGCATGCTATTAGTATTGTTAACAATGATTCAAGTAAAAGGCTTTGAAGTGAGTATTGAGATACTTGAATGAAACAATATTGTATAGTTTGGTGTATAAACGATATACCCACAATAAATGTGTTATATGAAGGTTTTTGGTCGTAGACTATGTCAAGAATGTTGATATCAAAAGTCACTTTTTTGGGATTGTTTTTGTATTGTTTTGAATTGTAGCTTGTTGGAAAGCTAGTCTACAATTAGTGATGGGTTTATCTGCTACTAAAAAATAGTATATCGTCCTTACAAAAAGGGTGAATGACACATTGTGGTTGAAGGGGATGATGAGAGACTCATGTACATTGTGTATAATTATAGGACTACTATTTCTGATAGTCAAAGTGTCATACATATGATAATTATATTTACCATTAGAGGATTAAACACATAGACATTAGACTACAATTCATAGGAGATGATGTTTGGTTTGGAAATGTTAGACTTGAGAAGATAGTTTCAAAATAGAATTTTGTAGATGTATTTACAAAGTCCTCATCAAGATCGAGATTCAAACAATATCTAAAGCAAATTATTTTTTCATCCAATGATAAAGGAAGGTGATGCAAATATTTCTTCTATAATTTGAAGTTAGGGTGGAGAATTGTAATAATAGAGTTTAGATCATGATATATTCGGGTGAATAATTCAATGTATAGTAATGTTAAGTTTGAATAGACCATATATATATATATATATATATATATATATATATATATATAANATATTGTTTTAGGATGTGATGTAGGATTAAAAAAGTTCGTTTTGGTATTGTCACCTTACCAATTAAATAAAAAACGGTGGATCGAGTCATGTATTTGAACACATCAATCTAAAGTAATTTGACTCGTCCAATTGTCATATTATAATATGCGTTAACGTGTAATCTGTTTTAAATGTGTTATTTTTTTTTGTTATTCACCTAAAGACCTAAACATAAAAACAAAACAACACTCATTTTTCCACTTCAAGACTCAGTGTCACTAGTCCACTTACCCACCCAATGGTGGGATGGGTTCAAATTTTTCAACCCATTTTCTAACATTAGGTTGGTCAAACTCGACCTAAATTTTGTATGCCAGAAACAAGGGAAGTCTAAACAAGTCAGACTGACTCATTGACACCTCTAATGTAATGGTTAAAATTTTCATTATATTGTTTGAAGTGTGAAACGTTTTAAACTCTTAACTTGCCTTATATTCAAACAATACTCCAACTGGTAATACTTAATATCTTGTTTGTCTTTCAAGCCTTCACGAGAGCATTTAGTTTTTTTCTATCATTGTTCATCACCATTTTTCATACAAGTACCTCCCCTAAGGCTTCTTATATGTTTTCTAACTCTAAACAAAAATATCCCTCTAATAAGCAAAGAAGTTGTTACGAGTAGATAAGGGACATCTTTAAGTTGCACGTAATCTTTTTAACTAAAGAGGGACAATGCATAGGAACTTTTTTCTCCTCACCCCTCCATCATGGACGTGATGATCTCAAGTACTTTTAGATACCTGGAGAGGTTGTTGCCTATCCTTTTGACTTTGTCTTTAGTGATGTGGAAGAGTTTGTTTCATCTTTCGATGCATGCTCTGATACCATATGTCGCAACCGGAATCGCGACGGGACGACGATCCAAAAAAAACAGGTTTCGAAAAGAGATTTCGAGTCGCCACCATAGTTTATTCTGGAAAACTACGGAAAAACCATAAAAAGGATAAGGCATGGTCTGCGAAAATGAGATTCTTGGTTCGGGAGTCGGTTACGCGTAGGGAAGGTATTAGCACCCTACAACGCCTGCCCTAAGGCAGTACCTTTAACTAAATACGCGAATATGATGTGGTTTTCAATATGTTTAACTATCCCCTAAAATAAAACTCTAAATAAACAAAATATATTTTTTAGTTTTTTGGGCCCGACAAGGATTGACCTTGCTCCTACGTATTCTCATTCAGAATGAGAAATCAGGGTTACGTAGTTCTTTTTGGAAACTATTTGAGAAATTTGTTTGGAAATCGTTTGGAAATTTGTTTGGAAAATGATTATGGATAAATTCGGATTTTTGGAAAAGTGAACCTGACAAGGGCTAGCCTTGCTCCTACGTATCTCCACTTTTGATGGAGAATCAAGGATCACGTAGTTCTGGCTAGAAATATTGTTTGTTTGCTTGAAAGTGTTGTTTTTAGTTTTTTGAAGATTTTTATATTCTTTTGATATTTTTATAAAAGACAGAGAGAGGTTTTTAGCACGAGGACGATGCGAGCGATCACACACGTGCTTAACCTTTTAAATCATATTTTTTTAATTTTTTTATATATATATATATATATATATATATATATATATATATATATATAACTTTACTAGATGAATTGATACACTATATCTTGTGATAATGATTTAATGTATAAAACCTTCTAATGAAAAGAAAAATGTATTTTTAATCTTATTCTTGTATTTTTTTTTGTCATTGTTTTGAATCCAGCATAATAATGGATAATGTTAATAATATATTTACTTATTATTTTTAGCGTATGGAGTTGAGTGTCCATTTAAAACAATTTTATTGTCTCTTAAGTTTTCCTCTTCTTGTTCGGATAGACAAATCTTCAATTGATCGGGTGTACATGCTAAAGATACTTTGATGCTTAAGTAAGTTCAAATTCAATCAGTTAAGCAATTAATATTGTAATAAATGCATCATAAAAGTCTCAACAACCATACATTTGACTTAAATTTAGGTTTCTCCATAAGCTTCTGATTAAGGTCACTCTAATCACAACCTAATTTTGTTAAACATGATTATTAACGTGTTTAAATTAGCTAATTTTGATGGTAACTAATTGATCTTCTCCAAGATTGGACGTTTGATTGAATTACTTTGATCAATATGTACCGATAAATACATATATAGTACACTTCTAATAATGCAAAACATACTAACTAAGAAAATGAGAGAAAAAAACAAAGTAGTTAAACATATAGTTATTATAAATAAATAAACAAATAAGCAAATATAAGTTAAATTTCCACCACAAACATAAATAAATTATCATATAAATTAATAAATTATATTATAAATAATAAACTATATTTTTTACAAATTATGTACAAAATAAGTACTTAAAATAATAAATTGTATCCTATGCCTTCAAACGGTCGGCCATAGGAATGACGATAGGTGGAAAACATTAAGTAACTTTAAGTATAACCTCTAATCAAATTTATTACAACCTCTAATCAAGTTTATTGCTAAATATTACTTATTAGGTATTGGATCATGATTACAATTTTGCTAATCATAAGTCCATCTTAAGACTTATAAATACATGTAAGAGGTATGCATTTATTGCGAATTTAAGATTTTATTATGATATCAAAAAAAATGTAAAAAAATATTTGATAGTGATTCTCAACCACCCAAAACATAAACAAAAAATATTAATAAAATAAATATATATTGATAAATATAATAAAGTATGTCACTATCGTATTAGCATTTTATTATATCTTCATATAAGGAGGGAATATTTTTCTAATCTAACTATAAAATCTATCTATAAAATACACAAACAAAAATATAAACTTCTTATATATGTCATATATATAAAACATACACTAGCAGTACATAAACAGAAACTTTGTGTCATTTGAAGAAAATTTCTCAAAAAAAAAAAAACAAAAAAATTACCCTGGAAATTTAATGGTAAATTGTGGCTCTTTCTCCTTCTTACACGTGGTCATCCTAGTAAATAACATTCAAGTTCTCACATTCTCACACAGACGTACATAACAACACAAGTGAAAGACTATTTTATCAATGATGGTATATGCAAATAAAGAACAAGAAAATTGAATATTTCCGGTATACCTTTCAAGGAAGCATCTCACATTTACAAGCAATAAAGGAACCAAACACAATAAAACCCCTTAAGTTCTTTACAATTAATGAACCTCGTTGTTATCTTATTTCCTATTCTCGGATATAAGCCAACTTTTCTTCTTAGAAACTAGTTCCTTATGAAAAGAATTTTAAATGAAAAAAAAAATGATACATTTTCAAAAGTGACGACAAAAGATTATACGAATATGTAAAAGTTAACCAAGGACTGTAGTCAAATCATAGAGCTGAAACCTTCAATGGGATCAGATTCTTCAAGCAAGGAAGCTGCTTGGAAGCAATCAGCAGCATCAGATATTCGGCCATCAGCCTTGTGAGTTAATCCCAAGTAATACCAAGCCATGCGGTTGGTGGGTTCTATTCTAAGTGCATCACAAAGTAGGCATCTAGCAACAGGTGCAGCAGAAATAAAATCGATTTTCAGTATCAAAGAAGCCATCAAGATCTTGCTTGGCACATAGTTTGGTTCAAGCAGAACCGCATTCAAAGTAGCAATGAGAGCTTCTAAATATTCTCCACGACCTTCGAACATAATAGCTGGGACAATCACATTGAAAAATATGAAATGTCAATTTCATTTAAACAAGAGGGAAAGCACAAGTTCAATGTGGTAAAGTAAACTGTTGACAACATAAAGATTTGTTCTTGCCTTCAGCGTGTGTTGTTGCTGGTGAGTATTCCTTTAACTCTTTCGCCTTTTGCAAACAAATTTCGGCATCCTTCCAGTGAGAAAGGCTTGCATATAAATTTGCCAGACCATGCCAAACTTCAAGTTCGTTTATCTTATCATCTTCAACCTACAAAAGAGTTAATAAAATAAATGTAAGATTAGCCATGGCATCCACATTTTATAATCGAAGAGTTTCATATTAAGCAATTAAAATATCTAGACAAAAAACTCATTTCCTTAGTTAAATAAAAACTTCCTTTTTTATGTACGATACAATATGTGAAAAATATCTCAACATATTCTGAAGTTTTACTTCTTAGGACTAGTTTATCTGTTTCCTCAGTTTTCATTACCTTAATTTAAGGGTAAATAAGAATAGTGTTTTATGTTTTACCGTCATTAAACAATAATAGAAACCGGAGCTGGAAAAAATATTTCCATGTTTTAGGAACCTTGCAGCAAAACTATGACATGACAAGTTATGATGGATGATAAGACTCATGTTTAACTCAACAAAACAGAGAAAGGGGGAGAAATAATGGACGAAATTGATTGAATGTGTTTTACTTGTGTTATGCATAACACCAAGTATGGAGTCTCACTAGGCTAATTGGGAAAATTTCCAAGGCAGAGTAATGTTATCTATGAAAACTAAATTCTTGTAACATGTGATACTTAAACTCATTAAACATGTAGACCAAAATTCTTCTAACAAATAGCTTTGAATTAACAACAATATTGGAGGAAATCCAATCCCCTCATTACATGTTATCCAATTACAACGGTAATATAAAGTCAATCCCATCCATGGGAAGTCATTGAAATCGTTTAATCATATCGTTATTAAAATCCACAACATTCACATCAAAGCTACATGTCATCATCACTATTATTCGATAAAACATATCACGATTGAATTAAATTTAAAGATAATATTCCTTGGAAGAAGAGAAGATTGCATAATCATACCTGTGAACCTTGTTTAGGTGGCCCAGGTGATTTCCTCTGGGCTTGAACCAATGCAAGAAGGTACCGATAAATTTCAATAGCATCCATGGGTCGTAATTGGGAGATCTTCAACTTGGCTTTCAGCCTGAGTAATGGCCCCTGCTCCCATTTTGCAGTCTCGTCTACAGCTGCATCAGTGACTACTTCGGCCTCTGCAAATCTTTTTTGTGCAGACAAAACTAGAGCAAGCAATCTCCAACCTTTCAATGTAGAGCCACCAGTTTTGTCAAAGAACTGTTTAGCGCAAGATAAAGCAACAGTTAAATTTCGGTGCATAGCATATTGAATAGCCAATTCAAAAATGAGATCAGCGTTATTTTGCTCCAATCTAATTGCCTTCTCTAATGATTGTAGAGCTTTGGATTGAAGGTTAGACCTCTCATGGTCAGAAGAACAAACCCTAGCCTGTTTTCCTAGGCAAAGTCCCAACATCCTAAGACCCACACCTTTCAAATGCTCATCTAATCCTCGGGCATTATTGATTACTCTTTGTGCATAACCTACTCCCTCAGCACCAAGATGAGGATCCTCACTACAAACTTTGGCAGCCAATAATAATGCTATTAGGTCATTTGGTCGTTCATGTTTATGTAAAGACATCCTAAGTAGATTCAAAGCACTTTTATTTTCTCCAGCTATACAATTACACATGGCTATAAAATTCCGACGATCAATGCGGTGGTATACACCAGGTATCAACTCTTCAAATTGCTTTGCTAAAATAGAGGTTTGTCCACATGTTGAAAGTGTGAAAGTCAGGTGTTCCATAACTGAAGGATCCCACTTTATCTTACCAAGGATGAAGTTTCTCAAAATAATCATTAAAAGAAGAATTGCCTCTTCCAGATTGCTTTTGGGTACATAAGACCCATCCGTCTTGTTAGGTGGACTTGCCTCCACTTCACTGTACAACAAAAACACAGCAAGTGCCTTCTGAATTCTTGCAACAAATTCATTATCAAGGTTCCATTGGCTAAGTAGGGCATTCCTATAAGCAGACAATGCCTCATCATAACGACCAACCTGTTTCCAAAGCTCTGGAAGGAGCTCCACTACACGACTGGCTATCTCCTGCGATTTATTGTCGACTTGTGTATCAAATGTACCCTGACCATATGTCTTCTCAACAGCATCAAGAACACACTTACACTCATCAATAGCTTCTGTATAAATCCATGAAACAAGTTTTTCAATGTATTAATATCCCTTAGAATTTGGTTTTTAAACAAGTAATAGTGTTGGGTAATCCATTTACCCAACTTCATCTAGTGGGATGTTGTGGTAAAGATAGAATACTTCAAAGTGTATAATGGAGGATTCACCTCCATTTAGAAAGAAAAATCAAACCACAGGTAGAAAACAACTTTCAATAGTTGAAATAATGGTTAATACCAGTACATTTGTCCAACTTTTGTAGAGACTTGATTCTTAGGTAGACGACTTCAAACAACAAAGCATTCTTCACTGGTCCTTTTTCCGAAAGGGAAGTTTGTAATTGTTGTATGATTGGTTGAAGATCAATTCCATCAAACACTTGAAGAGCATTTTTCACGTTACCTCTTTGATACTCTAATTTTCCAAGAACAGCCTTTGCTTCCTATCAACATATAAAAATAAAAACAAGTGACTACATCGATTTAACTCAAAGGGATCCATCAATTCAATCCCAATACGAAATGAGACATGCGGTATATTTGTATTTGTAAGAAATTTGATGGGATAATAATATAAATACTCACTTTAACCACTTTATTTTAATAATATAATAATATATAAACAGAACCAATTCAAAATCCAATCACATTACATAAAACCATTCCAACACATATATCTCATAAGGCCCTACCAATTCAAAATAGTAACAGTGAGGGAGCAAATTTAGCTCAGGTAATTAGTTATGGTGATGAACAATATGACATTGTAACATTGGTTTCAGGTTGTTGGAAGATGAATATTCAATTAACAAACAAAAATGAACCTCGGAACTTAGTGACAACCCATCACGCAATGTTGTTTCTGCTTCTTGAACATTTCCTGCATCAAGTTTGGCCTCAAGTTCTGCCGCATTGACGCTATTTCCATTCGCGCAAACCTCGCGACTCGTCTCACGTTCGTTCTTGTCAGACTCCATCAATCATTATCTCACCACCTGCACAAATGTATGCCTTAATTAACTTTATAAATCCAGACATTATCATTTAGGATTGTTGTGTTTCTTATCAGTTGTCCGTACGTAACAGAAAGAAAGGGAAATATTGTTGTGAACAGAGAATAATGAAAATAAAAAGGTGGATCCATAAAACCAAGAAGATTAGAAATATAACCTTAGCGTCGTCAAAAACAATATGGCTCCAAATAGCGATCTCTGGGGAGGTTTTGCTTGTTCGGTGTTAGATTTAATTTTGCAGTTTTTGTTTTTGTTTTTACTCTGGAATTTTGTTTCAATGCAATTTTCAGATCCCACGAACAAATTATTTGAAAATTTGTGTTTATTTTTTAATCTTTCACCGTGACCCAGAAACAAATAAAAAGAAAAAAACGTGGAAGGATGATGAATTAGTTTTAATTCCCATACAAAATGATGAGGATCATAAAGAAATGATTGGTAAGGAACATTAAGTATTATAATAATAGTTTAGTATGTGTTCTTATCAAAATTGTAGGCACATATTATATTGATATAAACCTCAAAAGTTGTACTACTAAATAACTCTCATACTTTCAAATTTCAAAACTAATAATATTACATCTTTTACTATATTTAGAAATACTACTTAATACTTACATAAAAAATTACCAAAATTAAAAAATTAAACTTCTAATATAAATATTATAGCATTTTCATAAACAGTTTGAATGATTTTTTATTTCTGAAATATTATTTTTTTATCAACAAAAAGATAATTTATTATTTTATATGTTTATAATACACTTTATTTTAATATATGATAATTGTAATGAAAATAGTATAAACACTATTTTGGAATTATCATATTATAAGTCTAACATTATATACCAGAGTAAATAAAAGATTATTTATACAAGATCTTTCTAAAATAAAAACTAGAATAGTTAACTACTCTATTCAACTAAATATTTGCGTCATCACCTCCCAAAATCTATTTCATGGAAACGTCATCACATCTGCTCACACCAATCAGGTGATAATTGCAAAAGAAACCAACAAACACAAAGAACATACAAAGGGTTAGCTAATGTCAAAAGAAACAACACATTATATCAAAATTCATCATACATCACATTTCATAAAAAAATAAACAAACATCCTAAGCATATCATGAACCTAGACCTAACCATCCAGATACAAGTATGAATGTCGAGATATGACGAGTCATGCATTTATGGTTGTAAGACCCATAGAAAAATCAAAATAATTTTATGAATGTTGTGGTTTTGAATAATTAATTATGGTGTGCATTCATATGTAAGATAAAGATTATTGTTTGTATTTCTTTTTACCATTTTGTTTAGCTTGGTTTTTCTTGTATTAATTATTTGAATTTGATGTAATTTGTGCTTACCATGTTTGGTTAAAAGGAGGGACTTAATTAAAAAAAAAAAATAATAATAATAAAAACTAATACTAATATGGAAAGAAGAAGATGAATCATGGAGGTTGATCTTTCCCTTGAAACACGGATCCATGTTTTTCCTAGGTGGGCTCTTTTAATTGTTGGCTATACATTTAAAAATTCATATAAAACAAACACATCTTGGAGCAAGCAAACTACGGGGGACATAGACCTTAAATTAGGAAATTGGGACCCATTCATTTGAAAACTTTTCCTACAAATTATTGTAACTTAATGTTTAACAATGTCTGAGGGAATGTGTCAGTGAGTTCTATTTAAAGAAAAAAAAAATAATCAAAGGGGGATAGCAAAGAAAGGGGAGTAGAACGTGAGAACTTTCATGCACTTGTGAAATTGGAAATCAAGCAAAGGTGTGGTCTAGGTGTATCAAGAGTGAAGAATTTCTTGCAAGGAGAAGAGGTAGGGGAGCTAATCCTTTCTTGATTATGATCATGAATATGAGTATGAATGTGTTAAAATTTGGTAATGGTAGTTATATATTGACTTGTGTAAAATTTGGTTTTCATGATTATAATTTTTTATTTTCGAGTTACTGTGGTGAAAAATTTCTATTAATTGTTTTCACCGTTGGATTTAGCTAAAATTTTAGTATGTGAATCCTAAGACCTATTACTAAACTTTGACCGTTCGGATTTGAAAATAGAAGTCTGTAATTGGAGAAATAAGTTCTGCAAGATTGAGTAAATTAGTTACCCCTGTAGTTCTGTTACTGAGTTGTCTCGGTATAATATTGATTCTGACCTATTGGACCGTTAGATCAACCTCAAAATTTGATATATGATCCCTAAGACATATTAATACACTTTGACCGTTCGGATTTGCAATTAGTAGTCTGTACTTGGAGATATATATTATCCTACATGTTTGAGTTGAATTAATTACCTCCTACCCCTGCAGTTCTATTAACTGAGTTCCCTTGGTAAATATAGATTCTTGACTTATGGGACTGTTAGATCAACTTGGAAATTGGATATATGATTCTTAGAATACATTTTACAGTTGAGACCGATCGGATTTGGAATTGAAATCTATGTTTAGAGAAAAAATTTCGAAAGTTTTGAAATATTTGATGAACACTGCAATTCTGTTCTTAAGTTATAATGGTAATATTTCATATATATTCCATTTACCGTTAGTTTGAGCCCAAACTTTAGTAATGTAGTTCATAGACATATTAAAGTGATCTTGACCGTTTCAGATTTGGAAAATTGATGTCCTGAGGTTAGAGGAATTCATCTTTTCGCAATTTGAGTTTAACCGGAACTACTTAAATTTCCTGTTTCTGAGTTACCTCGGTAAAAACCTCCATATCTACTTATTTAGCAGTTTGTTGAGATACCTAATTACCCTGATTTTTAGTATGTTGTTTCATAAGAAGATAGTGGCATACTTCTACTCGAAACCGTTCGGATTTTAGATCGGAGTTACAGATTTAGGAGATATTTAATTTCGTACCTTCTCAGGGATCTCAATACTGTTTAATTAATTTATGTTTTTGGATCATTTATAACAAAATTGATGATTTTCGCCTCTTATAAACCATTGGATTGGACTGAAAAGCCTACCATATGAATCTAAACATGTTGTTGATTAGTTTTGATTTGGTTCAGATCGTCGATAAATAATATATTGAAAAGGTAATTTGGTGTTAATTTGTGCTACTTTGTTAAGTAGAATTGAAACTGAGATATTTTTGATTGGTTATTATGTACTTGTTAAGCGATGATTGGTTTGAGATTAGTGGTTGAGATGGTCATGTATTGGTTATGGAATATTGTTAGGAAATGTAATTTGGGTTAATTTGTACTACATTGGTATTTAGACAAAAGGGAATTAGAAAAGTTCACCGGTTTTCTATTGCTTTGTTGAGTATGATTAGTTTTGGATGGGTTGTGGTTGATTATGAATAATTTGTTGAATAAGGTAAATGATGTTGGTTTGCGCTACTTTTGTAAGTAGGCGAGTAGATGTTGGGTCTGCGTTACTTTGGTAAGTAAGCAGGGTGATTTGCGCTACTTTGATAAGTAGGAGGATGAGATGATGAATGAAGAGATAAAAAGAACGATATAAATTGTGCTCTACTTTGATAAGTAGGCAGATTAACTATACTGTGCTACTTTGTAAGTAAGACAGTAATTGGTCTTGCTGCGCTACTTTGGTAAGTAGGCAGAAGAACTTGGTTTGTGCTACTTTGGTAGTAGGCAGAAGATCTTGTGTTGTGCTACTTTGGTAAGTAGACAATATCACCTTGTTGTACTACTTTGGTAGAGATAATAAAAATCACCTTGTTAGATTACTTTTGGTTTTTTAAAGTAATCAGTATATCATGGTTATACTACTTTGTGATGTAGACAGAATGTTTGTGACCTGAGGTGCTTTGGTAAGTAGGCAGATTAATAATATGTTTGTATTGACTCTAGTGAATCGACTGATGATTTTGACTGGAGAAATATATAAGTATCAAAGGTTTTGTAATAAAGTTGGTGTTCCTTGAGTATGTTTGAGATGTATGTTAACTTGCTGATTGCCAACAACTTGTGATGTTTAGTAAGATTGTGATGATGTAATATTTTCTTGAATCGGTTTAGCTACCTACTGTTGTGGTTGTGTGTGCACTATGAATGCGATGATCGTCTAATGTGTGATATTATACCGGGATGAAACTATAATTCAGATGAATTACAGATGGTTCTGGACCTGCTTAGAAGAGAATAGATCTCTGTGGGGAAAAAGGAGACATGGGGAATTCTAAAAATAAATCCCTGTGTTTGATTTTTCCGAACTTGTGAGAAATTTTAAATTTTTCAGAGTTATGTATTATGAACTGTGTGGACCTTTTATAATTTTTCAGAAGACTTGTGCTGTAATAAAAAGAACTTAAATATTTGTATCGGGATGTTGAAATTTGTTAAAGAAAACAAAATTATAATATATGTATTTTTTGTGGAATAAAAATTGTTAAAACGCCAAATCGGGGTGTTACAATGGTGGGCCCTCTACTAAGCTCTGTCATACGCCATGCGAATTGGTTTACCCCCAAACAACACACACACACATCAATGTTTAGTCTG